ATTCTGCATGGAGCACTGGGTGTTATGCCCAAACAATGAATCATGGAACACTACATCAAAAACTAATGATGTAATGTATGGTGATTAACATAACAATAAAAAAATAAAAAAAAAAAAGAATTTTCAGGATGGTCCTTTAAGCCCCAAAGGTTGACAAATTGCATTCTGAATCTTCATAGGGGACTCTAGGTCATAATTGATGAACAGCAGGAGGGGCGTGTTCTGTTCCAAACCCTACGTCGGAGGCTTCGTTCCAGAGGAGAAATGGTTTTTATATGTACTCCAAGTTTGTTTCTATTACCGTTGGTTCATTTTACAGGGAATCAGTTCATTCTCGTTAGCTCAACCTCAGCTGCACTTCGGTGTAACAGGAACCTGAAATTTGAAATCTTGAGAACCCTCTCTTACTTTTATGGACTCAGGATTTCTGTGCTGGAGTTGAGTACTTTTCTGGTGCTTCTGGAGAAGCGCCTGCCTTGCTCATGTATCGGCAGGTGGTTTTGTGTCCTTTGGGGGTGGGGGGTGGATTCTGCTTCTTAGGAACCGTTTCCATGAAGAAAAAGGTCTTTCTTTGTTCTCCAGCAAGGACAGCCAACGCCTCTGCAAGCCACCGGGCTGTCTGTCCTTGCAGGCAATGGCAGGGTGCAGGGCAGGGACCTCTCAAGGTTAAGCACAGTTAGTGAAGCTGATCCCAAGCTTCACTACCCAGGACTCTAGATGGAAGCTTTTCAGAATGCCTTGTGTGAGGAAGCCTGGGATTTGCTTCTCTTTATGATCTTGCTTCTCTCCCCCAAACCTTACAGATTTCTCTTACCTCCTTCCTTGGTGAACCTCCTGGGGGAGCCACGGCCATGGCGCCTCACCACCGACGGCCACAAGGGGGAGCCCGACGCGCTTCTTCCTTCCACCGGCTCTCTGGCGCGAACCTCTCTTGGGTCCTCCTGGGGGAGCCCGAGAGGCCCTCGAAGAAGACAAGGGCCTCTTCCATCCGGGCTTTTTCATGTTCAGGGGGTGGGAATCCTACTGTCTTATTTTACTGTTTATCCTAAAATCTGTCAGAGTAGCTAATTGGCTGTAAGCAAGCGACTGAGTTTAAACTGAGAACACAGGAGAACTATTTATTAGTAAAGTTGCCTGAAGACGTTATCAATGGAATAGAACAGGAAGGAGAGAATTTTGTAAAAATGTTAGTTTTAGTAATCTCTACCCACAACGTGGGGCTGAACTCACAACCCTGAGATCGAGAGTCCCGTGCTCAGCAGACTGAGCCAGCCAGGCATCCCAGGAGAGAATTTTGATAAGGTTTTTTGTTTGTCTGTTTTTGTTTTTTGTTTGTTTTGTTTGTTAGTTTTTTACCATGATTTGTGTCTCATCTCCCAGTCTGGCAAAGCCCCTGTTTGAGAGAGAAAATAGGACTGAGGAGGGAGTTCTTACAGGGAAGCTCACAGCTGGGCCAGCCTTGGCTCCAGAGGGGCAGGGCTTTCCGAGTTTGCCAATTCTCAGCTTTTTGCTGATACTTAAATTTAAAGAACAAAGAATTCACAAGCGACTTGACGAAGCTGCTGTGATTAGAGTCCTATACTTACATATTTGAAGTTCAGCGACACAAGGGCTGGTTCTTTTTTTTTTTTTTT